GAATAGAGAAGTTCTTAGATTTAACTAAAAAGCTAAGCTTACTACTAATATAATTAATAATTATAAGTTTTTAGTACGACTTAAGAAGGAATAATAGAATAATAAATACTTATAGAAATAGAGCTATGGAGCTATATAGAAGAAAGAAAGTAATAAAGTTTTACTTTAGAATAGATTAATTATAGTACTAGATTTAATAGAAGAAGAAGTAATTAAAGTATATTATAACCTACTAACTAAAGGATACTAAGGGATTAATAGGATAATAGAGAAGATCTAATAAGTATACTACTTTCTATAAATATACTAATAGGTTTATAATTATATTATATAATATAATAAATATAATAGGAATAAGCTATCTTAATACTAACTATTTAGAAAGATAAGGATACCTAAGATACTAATAAAACTATAGGAAGTATTACTATTAATTTTATTATAGGATTACTACTATTATAAGATCTAATTTCTAGAATTACCTATATAACTACTATTATTATTATATATAAGATAATAAAGTATATAATTATTAGACTAATACTAGTAAACCTTACTACTCAGTGGCTAGTATTATTAATATTATAAGAAGTATTTATTTAGACTAGACTACTATAATACTTTATATCTAATAGAGACAAGCTATTTATATTAAAGTTTTAGAAAATAATTATAGAAGCTAGTGGAATAAGCTAAGATATATCTATTATATATTACTAGTAAACTAATAGGTAATTAGAAAGAATAATTTAGTTAAATAATACCTATAATACTACCTTAACTAGAACTAGAATAATTAGGTTAAACTTCTACTAATAGCATAGTATAATTAATAATATAAGAAATATAACTATAAATTACACGCCTTACTTTATAAACTTAGAAAGAAATCTAAGAATATTATAGATAATTCTACTACTAGATAGAAGACTACTAGTAGCACTAATATAGGTTTAGTACTTAAGCATATTATATAACTTAATTATAAAAGATATTAGGTAGGCTAAAGAAAAAATAAAATATTATTATAATTTAAAGCATGGGGACATGCCTTAGTTAAAGAAGGGAGAAAGAGTTTACCTCTTATAATAAATAATTAGAAGAAAAACTTTTAATATTATAAGTAAATAACTAAGTAATAAACTTAATACTATAAAATATAGACTATTTAAAATTAAAAAGAAACTTATAAATAATAACTATTATTTAATACTACTAATAAGAATATAAGTTTACCTAGTATTTTATATCTTATTACTTAAACTAACACTAAATCTAGAAAATACTAAAGATAAAGTAACTAATATTAATAAGGAGTTTAAAGTTAAAAAGATCCTAGACTAATATATAATAAAAGGTTAGGTTTAGTACCTTATTAGGTAGAAGGGCTACTTACTAGAGAATGATTTATAGGAACCTATTAGGCCTTTAAACTACCCTAAAAAGATTTAGGAATTTTAGTAAGGAAATAGTTAAAGAAAGGGTCTAATAAAGAAGGTAATATAAAGGCCTTAGTAGCTTCTATATTAAAAGATGCCTATAAAGAACTCTTACTATTTAATATAGTAACTAACTAACTCTTTTATACTTCTTTAATTTCCTTTTATTTCTACTCTTCTTCTTCTAACCTCTCAAGATCCGCGATCTCCTTATAATCATAAGTAATAAAGTCGCCAGCGCGCTACTTTAGGAGACGTTTTTATTTTTAGAGATAAATTAATTTATTAAGTAATAACTCCTTATCTTCCTTAATCTTATTTTAAGCTGTAACCAATCGCCGCTATTCACTATTAGAAAAAGATATTTTTAAATTAATATACTTATAACCGTTCACTTTAACATACTCGCTATAATAAGAAGAACCTTCGAGCTTAATACACGAACGTTTAAGCCTTAAATAGCGTTCACACGGGAAAACTATCACGAAGCCGTTATCCTTGATCTTGTAATAAAGGGAGTTCTTGACAATACTAGATCTAGAAGACCGCGCGAAAAGTTAGCGCGATAATATTTGGAAAGGATAAGAACCGCGGGCTATGACACTTACCTAGGAAAGCGCTACTTATTAGTGTCTTTGGGACAAAGACCTTGAAAGAGGGGGATTATCAGAGAACGCGGGCATTATCAGCCAATAGATCCATTATGCCGCAGCCTAGCGCCGTGACAACTACAGAAGAATAATACGCCAGAACCAATCATAGTCGAGCTACGATGCTAGGCCGGATTAGGGTTATGGTTATAGGTAGACTATGAGGATCAGCCTATAATAGAACATGCTTAGGACATGACTAGATCATAGCCATGCTACGAGCCAAGCATAGGCAAGCTATAATAAGAACTTAGTATTTAAGAATACTTATTATTATATATAATTAGTTCTAGCTACTATCTATTACTTTTAGAATTAAAGCTACCCTACCTTTCAGAAACCTAGTTTACCTTCTTAGTTTGTTAAGAAGCAGTCTTCTCTCTTAATATCAGAATACCTTAAGCCCGTTCGGACCTTAAGCAGCATCGGTTGGACTTATCTGACAGCAGGCTCTATAGTAAAGTAAGGAAATAGAATTAAATAAAAATATAGGTAAGATAGAAGAATTATACCTTATTTCTAACTCTATTATATTATAAAAGTAAAATATCTCTTCCTACTTTATTAAATCTATTAGAGTAGAGAAGAATTAGAAGCTAGATAATATAACCTCTATAGTTATATAAGGAAAGTAAGCTTATACCTTAATAAGAACTATAAAGGGTTAACTACCTAGATAGCTTAGGAATAAGTAAGCCCTTATAGCCCTAGATATTATTAAACCTAGTAAGGTCCTTCATGCCTCTAATATTATTATCCTATAAATCTATAAGTAAGTAATAAAGTCGCTACTTATAGATTACTAGAGGGTGGTAATAAAGAGATAATATAATAAGATTACTAGAATATAAATCTATAGAAAGGTCTCTAGGCTAAAGAGTAATAAAGGATACTATATATTACTAGGTAAATAGGTCTACACTCTTAAGCTTAATAAGAAGAATTATATATAGAGATTTAAGGCTTACTAGGTAATCTATAGTAATCTATAGTAATAGATAATATCCTAATATTAACTTTAATAATACTAGCTTACTAGTCCCTATAGATCTTATAATCTATATATTCCTCATGATAATCACTACTAAGAAGAAATATTATAAATAGGTAGATATTATAATAGTATTTCTATATATACTAATAAAGGAGTAAAAAAATTTTATATAATCCCTATCTAGCTTTAAGAATAATAATAACTAGGTCTAGCTCTTACTTAAAGCTTTATATAGCCTATAATAGGTAGGTTATTTATAGTAAAAGAGAATAAGTAAGAAGCTAATTACTATAGGATTTAAACTACTTATTAAAGAACCCTATATTTTCTAGAGGGGAACTATATTTATTATTATCTATATAGATAACCTCCTTATTACTAATAATACTAATAAGGGAATTATTAAGGTTATCTATAAGATTAATAAGGATATATAGGTTAAGATTATTAGTAAGCTAGTAAGGTTCCCTAGTTACATGCTAATATAAGAGAATAATATAATTATTATAGACTAGAAGGGATATATAGAGGACCTTCTAATTAAGTATAAGATATTATTATTAAATAGGGTAGACTTATTAATGGCCTCTAGATACTATTAATACTATATAAAAATCATGAAGTAACTAGTAGCTAGTAAAACTACTATTATTAATATAAATACTATAGAAGATAATCTTTAGGAATTAAATAAACTATATAATTCTCTCCTAGTCTAATTAAACTAGCTAGTTATTAAAACTAGGCTAGATATTACCTATGTAGTCTTTAGGCCATAAAGATATATATAGAAACTACTAACTTATAATATTAAGGTAGTATAATAAATCCTCTACTATCTTTACTGCAATAACCTTACCCTTTAGCTAGGATTAAAGCTAGAGGAGGTAGAAGAGGTCTATATTAATACTACTTATTAGGATTATAAGAGCGGCTACTTAACTACCTTATTTATAATATTTTATACTAGCGCGCCTATTATATAATTAGCTAGGAAGGAAATAGTTCTAGTACTATCTTTAACTATTATAAAACTAATTACTTTTAATATAGCTATTAAAGAGGCTCTCTATATTTAAAAACTAGCTATTATACTTAGGATAAGGGGTAATAATAAACTACTATATATTCTTAGTAATAGTAATAATACTATTAAGATAGTTAAGAAGCCTAATCTAGCTACTATACTAAGTATTAGATAGCTTAATAATCACTAGTTCTTCATACACAAGCTAGTATAGGATAAGAAGATTAAATTTTAATATATTAATAAAGTAAAGAATAACGTAATTCCCAACCGAGTCGGACACCCGGTCGACCCGGACACCCCCACCAAAATCAACGCGCGTTCAACGCGAGGTTATTAAAACAACAACCATGCCACCAAAAGCGCGTCAACCGCCTCGAAACTTTGTGGAGCAAGAGGGGAGGATTCAACTTGCAATATCTGCTTTAAAAAAGCAAGAAATTTCGTCAGTTCTTCGCGCAGCAACTGTTTTTAATGTGCTTCCGTCAACATTGCATGATCGACTCAGTGGGAAGCAATATCGAATTGAACAGCGCGCCAATGGCCACAGGCTTACTTCGAACCAGGAAGCATCATTAATTTAATTGATTCTATCTAGAGATGCACGTGGAGTCGCTCCTAGGCCTTCTCATTTTGCAGAAATGGCTAGTCTTCTTCTTTAAGAGGCAGATCCAACATCCTCCCGACTAGTTGGAAAGAACTGGGTTTCTTCCTTTATAAATCGACATGATGAGGTCAAATCTCGCTTTGCCAGACGATACAACTACTCGCGCGCGAAATGTGAAGATCCCCGGGTCATAAAGGCATGGTTCAAGCAGCTAGAGGAGGTTCGAAAGCAGTGGGGTATACAGGATGATGATATCTTCAACTTTTATGAGACTGGCTTTGCCATGGGCCTTATTGCAACTACAAAGGTGGTTACCAGAGCTAGTATGCCTGGTAAACCTCATCTTATTCAACCAGGCAATCGAGAATGGGTTACGACAATTGAGTGCATGAATTCAAGTGGTTGGATAGTGCCTTCCTGCATTATCTTTAAAGGCAAGCGATTCATCAAGGGTTGGTTCAAAGAATATGGGATACTAACTAATTAGAGGATTGAATTAAGCGCGAATGGTTAGACAACAGATCAAATAGGCCTTTAGTGGCTTGAAAAGGTCTTTATTCCTGCAACAGCTACACGAAAGGTGGGGGGATATCAATTACTTGTTCTAGATGGCCATGGTAGTCATCTCACGCCTCAATTCGATAAGATGTGCGTGGATAATAATATTATTACCATCTACATGCCTCCACATTCATCTCATCTTCTACAGCCTCTGGATGTTGGTTGCTTTGGGCCATTAAAGCGCGCATACGGAGGTCTAGTCGAGGCAAAGATGCGCTTGGGATACAACCATATTAACAAGCTTGACTTCCTAAATACATATCCTACAGCTCACCGGACAGTCTTCACGCCTCAGAACATTCAAAGCGGCTTTACAGCAGCTGGTATACTTCCATTTGAACCTCAGCAGGTGCTTGACAAGCTGAATATATTAATGGGAACGCCTACCCCCCCTTCAAGCCGTGGAGGAGGTTCAACAGCCTCCTTATTACTAGCCACACCTCATACAGCTCATTAACTCCTCAAGAAAGCATCCTCAGTCAAGAAGATGCTTTAGCAGCGCTCTAAGAGTCCTTCTTCACCATCAAAAAGAACCTTTAATGAGTTGTTAAAGGGTTGCGAATTAATAATGCACTAGGTAGCATTCATGGCGAAGGAATTACATGATCTCCGCGCGGAGAATGAGAAAACAAAGCAGAAAAAGGGTCGATCTAGGCGTTAAATGACTCCGAATGAAGGACTTTCAATACAAGAGGCAAGGGATCTAATTGCGCAGAGAAATGAGTAATTACATGAAGAAGGTGGTCCATCTACTAGTTCTACTCCAATTGCTTCTATCGCGCGAAAACGCGCTCCGCTAACATGTTCTGAATGCCATATTCAGGGACATACAAGGACTAGCTGTCCTACACGTCGAAATAATTAATATAATGAGAATACTAGTATTTTGGTGGTGGTGAATAGCTTCAAAAGTTCTAAGTGTGGTCAATTTTGGTGGGGGTGTCCGGGTCGACCGGGTGTCCGACTCGGTTGGGAATTACGTTACTATAGATAGCCTTACTAAGCTACTTAATAGCCCTATTTTTAATATTTTTAAGAAAAGACTCCATATGGTTATATATAGAGGAGAAAAGGATTAAATAACATATATATAAAGTTTTTATAGATATTACTAAATCAGGAAATGTAATAGGCCTTATATTACTCTACTACTAAAGGGGGTGTATCAGCATGGGTGCGTTAGATATTTAGCAGCCGTAGCGGTCACGTGGCCCACAACCGCCACGATGACAACGCTCGGTCTTTCCCGTAGATAGAAATACCAAGCGTTCTATCCAGTCAAAGGGTTAGATTATAAATAAGTAAGAACTAATTAAAGTAAATAGTAAAGAAGAGTAGAAGGTAGAGAGTATATATAATATCTAGAAGTACTATTAAAAGCTGTAGTATTAAGTTTAGTAAGTAGGTTATAATATAAATAACAGTTAGTATAATACTAGCTTATTAAAGAATATACCCTAAGCTATTAAGGACTTCTATTATGAGTATTCTAATTAACCTAGACTACTAGTAAGGTTAGTCCTATAGAAATAGACTATAGAAAAGAATAAATTCCTACTTGTAAAATACTCTATATTACTAGGCTACTATATAGCTATACTATACTATATATAGTAGGATATCCTAAGGCTAAATAATATAGGACTATAAAGTCTTATAATAATATCTATAAAGTTTATATAATATATTTACTATTAACTATTTAATACTAGAGGCTATATTACTAGCTATAAGACTAAATAATATAGTACCCTAGTTAGTAATAGAAATATTACTAGCCCTATACTACTAAAGGAAATTAGTAAAAATAGAAAAATTACTAGCCTTAGAAGAAAAGAAGTTAGATAAGATATAAAGAAGAAATAATAAGAATCTAAAAGAAAAGTAGCTTATTTATATCTATAGTAAAGGAACTATAGGTAATAAAATTACCTATAATCTTAAATAGGTAGGTACTTTAGAGGTGAAGGTTAAGACTCCTAGTACTACCTAGCCTATAGGTAGTAACTACTATAAACTAAGCTACGCCTAGAGAGATAGGAGATGCTAAATAGTAAAGAATATAGGGTAAGCTAATTCACCTGGCCTAAGGACATGCTAGTGATTTAACTAGGGGTTATATAGTAGCTACTATATTAATACTTAGTAAATAGCCTTAGTAATCAGGCAAGTAACCACTACTAGCTAACTAAGCGTCATACACAAATGTTTTATTAATTATTATAATTAGTTTTATTTCTTCTTCATGCTTAGAATTCGATTAATTCTCGCCTGCAATTTTGCCTTGTAGCTTGGATATACGATCGTAGCAATATCTAACTATTAAGTAAGACATTATGATGAGAAGATATAGAAATATAGATATTACTAGTAAAGCTATAAGATTATATATAAGCTTATTATCTTAATAGTAAACTATATAGTTAAGGAGATCTATAACCTCCATTTTATTAACCTATATAAAGCCCTTTAAGAACTATATATAAAGTTTACTCTATTAGCTTAAGAGTTTAAGGTATATACTATTAATTACTTTAATAAGACTAGAGATAGTAAGGTTAACATAGGACTAATAAATAACTAGGTTATAAAATATAAAATAGTAATAGTAAAGCTTAAGAAGGTATATAGTAATAGCTATAATAAATAAGATATAGACAGGGCCTTTCTAAGGTAAATAAAAAATATTCTACTTAATTTACTAATTATTACCTTAAAAATATCATAAAGAATAACTACTAACCTAATCTATAACTCCTAGTAAGTAATTTCTATTAATACTTGTCGGCATGGGTGCCTTAGGCATTCAGCAGCCGTAGCGGTCACGTGGCCCACAACCGCCACGATGGCAACGCTCGGTCTTTCCCGTAGATATAAATACCAAGCGTTTCTATGCAGTCAATACTTAACTACATAGACTAATATTAAAAGCTATAATACTATATTTAGGACCTTTAACGGCTAATTAGATAGCTAGAAGGGTTAATAATAATAGCCTTAAGCTTAAGCTTAGTCTTATCCTTAGGGCTATATATGTTAGGGCTCTATAATCTTTCTACCCTATATATATAGAAGGAATTATTAATATAGGGACTACCTATATCTATTTAAGCACCTAAGAACCCCAGATTTTATATCTAATCTAGAGATAATAAGGAAGATTATAAAGGAATCCTAAAAGGATTTAAGATAAGATTAATATTAATATTAAGTAATTATTAAAGAATAATAATAAGAGACTATTTAATAATAATAGGGTTACTATAAGTATTATAGTAAACCTTACTAGCTTAATAATAAAAACCTTTAGAAAGGAAGATTTATTTATTATTAATACTAATAGTTAAATAAGTATCTATAATAATCACGACTAGTTTAACTAACTTAATAAGAATCATGTTAAATATATTAAGGTAGGGATTACTAGTGCTAATATATAAGGTATTAGTATAATTATACTCTAGCTAATATTAGCTAGCGCTAGCCTAATTAGGAAGGGGATACTAATCTAGAAAATATATTATATCCCTAGCTTTTATATTAATATTATCTCTACTAGCATAATACATGAAGCTAGCCTATTTCTAGATATAGAGCTTAATATAATAAGATATAATAGGGATATCTTCTATAATCTTATATACTATAACTATCTCTAGTATATTAAGATAAACTACCCTAGAGTAACTGCCTCTACTCTACTAGTATTAAAGTAGTTAGAATAACTTCCTAAGTTACTACTATCTAAATAACTACTTATTCTACTAGGTAGCATGTAGCTCTAGCACGACTATTATAGTTATATTAGCTATAAAGCTCTTGAGAAGCTTCTAATAGTGGTTAAGGGGATCTAAATAACTAATATTATTAAATAGAACTTATTTAATAAATACTATTATAAGGCATCCTAACTATCTATTATAAATTAATAGATATCTTAATAAGATGCTTACTATTCTAGCGAACCTTTTAATAAGGTCTATATTAATCTAATATAGGTTAATTGTCAGGGATAAGCTATATAAGGTGCGATCCGGGCAGATCAGACCATAGGGTCTGATCATAGTGACCTTTTGGCCCAGTAGATAGTAGCCCGGACGGCTATCCTTAACT